ATATGGTGATGCGGAGAGTCCCTGTTTTCTAAAAAAACGGCAAGGCTCACATGTTTAGTTTTCCACAATAGTGAATTTGGACAAAGCTCACACAATGTTGTTAGAACTAGATGTTCATTTTTTTGGCTATTTGACATTATACATGATTTATGATTTTTGTGAGTACCAATCTTCAAAATCTTAGGCCCGTCATTGTATGATATGTTTGGCATTTGTGATGCCATCACAAAGAAATGTTAGATACTATTATTGTGAAAGTGTTCTTCTAATGCCGAGCTCGGTTTTTCTTCCCCTATCCTTTGGTGGCTAGGGAAAACTCTTCACTCCAGGCTTCGCCGTCGAGCTCGTGGATTCGCCTCCCCTTTCTAGTTAGTAGTTTAGGTTGGGTTTTGTAGTCCTCGCAAATGTGGCGCTCAAGAGGGTGGCGACACTTCTTTCTCAAGTTTTACTTCAGGGCACCGACCCTCTTTGAGATTGTCTGTCTGGGCTTAGTCAATGGAGCTCCGGAGTAGATTCATCTCATCTTCTTGGGCGGCGAAGTTAGAGTTTCTCTCGTGTGGCAAGATTTGGCGTGAGGTCGGATCAATTCAAGGGTTCAACAATAATAATTGCACTCTAGGGCACTGGCCCATAGGAGCATGTGCACCAAGACATCCCGACTATCATCTACAAGGTCAAGCCGGCTCCGCTAGGAGAGTGGCGACAATGACGCATTGCCGGCTCGTTTTGGTGGCGGTAATGATTGTTCGGTGGTCTCAGAATCTATACAATTTTTATTATGTTTAAGATGTTCTTCCGGTGAACTTGAATAATAGGTCTGGATCCTTTGCACAAAAAAGACACAATGAAGTTTTATATTTCAACGTGTATGAAAGCAATTTTTATTGAAAATGGCACTTTTCAGTTTTACGAAAAAACTAATGCCTACACGTGTGGCATCTTGCACATCACCCACACGCCTTCATCACCACTCATTTTGCCACGTATGAACAGATGACATCAGTAGGAATCTTTTTGGTTTTTGGTTTAAAATGTTTTATCTCCTAATTACAAAATCAAATTAGAAATCTGTTTTCACCATTAAATCCGTCTTGACGAGATCTTCAAAACTAGACCCCATGCTGATATGTTTCGACGAAATTTTTTTTGCCCAAAAGTTGCCATGATGTTTAGAATGTAGTTGTCATAGTGTTTAAACTAAAGTTGTCATGTGGCAATTTTAGTTTGTAGAGCATAACAATTTTAATTTTTTGATGATGGCAATTCTAGTACTTTGACCATGAAAACTATTTTTTGTATGAACCATGGCAATTTTAAGTGCATGTATCATGGCAATTTTAGTTTATGGTTCATGGCAAGTCTAGTGTCTTGATTCCCCGTTTTATAATATGTCAGAATTAATTTTAAATGTAGAAGAAAATGGCTGAAACATATCATGTCAACTTCACTGTAAACATCATGGCAATTCATATGCAATAGACATGGTAACTTTTAGCCCAAAAATATTCGTCGAAATATATTGATATGAAATCTAGCTTTGAAGATCTCGTCGCGATAGATTTAATGGTGAAAACGTATCTTCAATCGAATGTTTTATTGAAGAGATAAAACATTTTAAAAACTGAAAATCTAAAAAAAAAAAAAATCTCACATGCATGCATACGGTGACGTGGCGCAGTCTGTATGTTATAGAGTATGTGAGCGTGTTTGGCTTCCACCATACGTATGGGCGTTAGCGTTATCCTAATTTGATGGAGTAGTACCTAACCGTTATCGGTAAACTCAATTACAAAACGGCAGTCTCCGGTCCAAGGAATCTTTTGGGGTCGAGACACATATTTGGTGCAAGCAGAGTAAATGTTCTGCATGAGTTGTCTACTATAGGAGTCTAGGAGTAGAGGTACTAAATTACTAATGCACCAAAGTACCAAGCTACATTAGATCATTTCTCTTTTTCACGGGGAAGCTACATGAACTATCTAAGAGTACTGTTCTGCATGATTTGTACATTTATAGACGAAAGTTTGCTTCATGTAAGGCATCCACCAACATAAGCCTCATGCGCCTTAGATGCTCCTTTATGAAAAGTAAAACGGATTCATATCGCTTTCGTCACATCGTCACATAGCATGGCCACGCATTAGAATCGGTGAAAGTTCAACGACAGAACAAAGTGCCTGATCACGAAGGCAACCAACCACCTGTGCTTCGGCCTTCAGAATTAAAACCTGTTCTACTGATCGCAGAAAATATTTCATCCCCCATGTTGCTTCCTCCTCATATTTATGCAGGGCAGCAATTACACTCCTAGTGATTGCGCTGCAACCTGCAGAGATGCACACATGACATGTACTCTACATGGCCAAATCGAGCCCTAGATGAAACTGAACCCCATGAGTTGTTATAAACTTACTAGGAATTCACACAAAAAAAGAATTACGCAAAGCTGATGTGCATGATTCTGATGGAGCTGTATTGTGCTCTCAACAACCGAATGATACAGAGGAGGCAGGACAAGGCTCCTATATGATTGCCTGGCCATTTGTCTGCTTGTGGAGTGCTGGACGGCCAGAATTAGAAGAGGGCACACTCGTTGAGCATTGCATATACGAACAACGACAACACAACAGTACTGAAACTATTGATCGCGATGGAGACGATTGAAAAAGGGGAAAATATCTTGTTGGGAACACTGATTGTCTCGGCGCGACGAAAGATATGCTAGTTTTTTCACGTACTGTTAGAGGCTGGTTAGATATTTGAGGCCAACATGAAGCATGCAGTTTGAAGGAATTACGATGATCAAAAAGTTGAACTTTGCTTTTACCAACTCAAGGACTCTTGAGTAGTGGAAGTTGAGCAACTATCTAATAAAACAGTTCAGGCCATCTATATTCTGAAGCAGAACGATCATTGTGGTACTTTTCATTTCCTTTACCTGAATTAATTATTTCTAGAGATAACGGTCATTTTGTTGAACTAGAAGCTTCTAAACTGTCTTAACCATGTTTATCATGTTATTATGTAACCATCAACAAGGAGCAGAGATACTTCGCAAATCTAATAAGAGAAAATGAACATACTTGTTTCTACAAACTGTCCTTCTCACTGGCCCTAGCAGGTGTTGTCTTTCATGTAGGCCACATAATTCAGTGGTTTTACAACGCCCATGGGTGCCCGTAGCTGTCAATCACGTGAGCCTTCTCTGATCTGTATCTGCTAAACAATGGGAAAGAAGTATGGAACGGTCCAAATGGATCAGCATATGCCTTTCAATGCAGAAAATGATGCCTAACAAAAGTTGGCATAAAGTTGATCCAGAAAGGAAAATTTAATGTCAGGTGCAAATCATCAATGAAGTACTCACTCTGAATGTGATTGAAACATGTAAATTGGTCTCTTCATTATGATTTTGCCCCCAACATAAGGCACTCTGTACTCCTTAAGACCTGTTGTGAGGTATCCGATAAGATGGATAGAAGGCTCATATTCATTCAATATGCCATGTACTCCCCACCGTTCATTAGGAGTGCCCGGGTACCTTTAGAAAAACCTATTAAACGACTGAAAAAATATGCAGCAGATGTGATGTCAGCTTTTGATTAAATTAATTGAGACATGCCAGCAATTATGTTGAGCAAATATAGGATACGAGATACTCTTACTTCTTTATTCTGAATCAGAAACCCACTAGGATGCTGATAGGCGTATATAGTTTAAGAAATTGTTTGGACATGTGGCTCATCGCAGGCGAAGACCCACCATTTTGGTTGTTGAACACTCTGAATCATTATGTGGCTCTCGGTGTCCATGCTGTGCTGGTACTTGCAGTCTTGTCCACATAATTGAGTAAAGAATTTGCTAATCTACAACAAGAGCATTGGTAGTTTGGTTCTAGTCTAGCACCCATGCATGTGTCCAGATTTCTACCAGGTCTTGGAAGAGAATAGTAAACAAGTAACATACAACAAGCATAAAATTCATGAGCTGACGATGTTGTTCTGTCTGAAGTAACATGTCGCTGTTTTGACGAGCTGTCCATATCAGCAAAGGACCACTGTCATTTGGCAGCACGTTGAAGAGAACAAAGAATGGTTCAGCTTGCATGGCCGCAAGCGTATGGTTTACTGGACAATAACACTAATGGACAACGCGGCCATCACGAAAAGATTGTAAAGAGGTTGTGGTTTCACCTTTCACGGATGAGAACAACAGGAGCAGTACATCGATAGCTGCTGCAAGGTAGCTAATGTCCAAAGACTGAAATCTCTTGCACAGATCCCATTGTGCTACGGTGTACTGCCTGTGATTCCCCTCTAGACAGGGCACACATGTTGGTATCAACTCGTATCATTTTCTCGCCCTTTTCCCCTTTTTGTCAGAAACATGTGCCATCCAAAAGGGGAAGATGATTTGTTCAACTTTGCACTCAATTTTCCACACAAGGGCATCTCCCTGCCGTAGATTTTTAAGAGATCATGTGAGAAGATCCCAACATTGGTGGCCAGTTTGACATTCCACAGTTTCACCTGAGGAAGATTTTTATCAAACTACCTTGGGTGCTAGGAAAGGTCGTGTGATTCCAAGATTGAAAACTCCAATGCCAACAAGATCCATACGTAAGCATGTCCCGTGACTACATGTTATGATAAGACAATCATTCACATATCAGGGGACCAAGAAAGATGCCATATTGATGCTTCTTAACCAATCTCATCTCAATATTAGGAGATGAATTGTGTGTAGATTTTTCAGTACCAAATCAATCTTGAAATTAACTTAACTGCAGAAAACAGTCTGTATGGAAATTTAATTAGCAACAAGCAATATCTTCCCTAATGTACAGAATACACAACACTTAGAACTCAGTGCCATGATACATCGGTGATCCACCACCAACACTGTTTAGTCCTAAACTGAACTACTAAACAATAAGAAAAACAAAGTGAAAATACTTTTGAATCAAAATCCGCTGCTTTTCACCCACATTCTTTAAAATTTCACGCAACATTCAACGTCGGAGGAAGGCCATCCTCGGGCAGGCCATCCACAATACCTCGAAGGCCGGGCTTGAGCTCACTGCCGCAGAATTGACGGTATTCAGCGGTGTCTCCGGCTTTCTTGCATACCTGGACCATGACGAGCTCCGGCGTGAGCTGGAATATCTTGGTGGATATGGCCAGCGCGCCCTTGTGGCCATTCCTCGTCGCCTCGAAGCTCACTTGGCAATCCTTGGTGCGTGCCGTGAAGCTAACTTGCCCGGCGATCTCCTCCAGCTTCGAGATGATGGTATTCACCGGCGCGCTGGACACGAAACGCAACTGCTCGCCACGCTCCTCGAACAGCCCGGACAGATCGAAGCTTGGCGAGGAGGCGATGATGTCGAACGCGTTCATGCTCTTGATCCGTCTTATGCGCGGCTCGGGGGCACGAGCTGCAGCAATGTGCATCTTCTCCAGATTTACAAGAGACGGTGCTGAAACCGAGGTGTGCATGCCGCCGCCGTCGCCATGAGCCACGGGAGAGGAAGAGCCGGAGGATGACGAAGACATGGCAGTCTCGTCCTCGGAGTCAGAGTCACAGAGATCAGGCTCTTCGGAGCCATCAAGGCTGCGCAAGCAGTCCTTGTTGTCGATGTAGAAACTAACTTCTTTGAAGCCTTTCTTGAACCAATCTGTTTCCTTGATTTGCAGGAGTGTGATTCGGTGCGCTGGGTTTGGTTGGAGGAGGCGGCGTACTATGCGTACCAGTTCGGGGCTGAAGGTGCGTGGGCAACGGTAGTCACCGCGGCAGATTGTCCGGTACAGGGTGATGAAGTCGTCGTCCCGGAAAGGCTTGCGGCCGGCGGCGAGCACGAAGAGGACGATGCCGCATGACCAGGCGTCCGCCTTGGCACCGTCATAGCCCCGGCGCGCGAACACCTCGGGAGGGACGTACAGGGGCGTGCCACAGACGGTGTGGAGGAGCGCCTCCCGGCGAGCCGTGTCGGCGTGGGCGGAGAGCCCGAAGTCGGCGACCTTGAGATTGCCGTGCTCGTCGACGAGGAGGTTGTCGGGCTTGATGTCGCGGTGGTACACGCCCTGCGCGTGGCAGAAGGTGAGCGCCGAGACGAGCTGCTGGAAGATGCGGCGCGTCTCGTCCTCCTTGAGGCCGCTGTTGGCGGGGATGTGGCGGTAGAGCGGGCCACCGCGGACGTACTCCATGACGACGAAGATGCGGGACTTGCAGGCCATCACCTTGTGGAGCTGAACGATGTTGGGGTGGCGCAACCGGCGCATCACGGCGATCTCGCGCTTGATCTGTTGAACGGCGCCCAACTTGATGAGCTTCTCCTTGTCCATCACCTTGATTGCCACCTCCTCCTTGGTATCCATGTGCCGCGCGAGGTAGACCTTGGCGAAATTGCCCTCGCCGAGCAGCTTCACCTGCTCGTACCGGGCAGGAAGCTTTGGCCGATCCCCCATGGCGCCGGCGCCGCTTCTTGGGCGGGCGTTCGAAGTTTGTTTCCTGGAGTATTTGGGTGGAGGCGAGCAGGGGATTGGGGGATCAGCCGAACTAAATAGGAAGTCTTTAGGGCAAATCAGTCCAAGCCTCAGTACCTCCCACGCAGACCCCTGCCCGGGATTTCTTAGATCGCTCTCTTGCACGAATCTCGAGGAAGCTGGCATATTCTGTTCCACCTTGGAAATTCAATGGGGCCACCAGAGTTGTTTGTGTATGCAGGGCGCTGATAAGAATTTGAGTTGTGTTTTCCCCTAGGTTTTTATTGATTCTTTGCATTGCGTCAAAAGTTGTCAGAATCTCGATTCTGTTGTATGATTATATGACTTTACGATCCAAACTAACCATTTTGATTCTACGATTTTGGTTAGTACAATCTATGTTTTTACAGTTCTGATAGTTAAGATTCTACGATTTGCGATCCTATCATCGGAGCTCTGATCCGATTCAGAATCACGATTCTGACAACCTTCCAAGGACGAGGATTTGCGGCACGCAATTGCAAGGGCACTCAGGTTCCTGGTGCCTGCTTTTTATTTTGACTTCTGATTTTCAAAGTTCTATATATTTTAAACAAAAATTCAAAATTAAGTTATGTTTTCAAATTTGGGTTTCTCATGACCAGCGCTTTGAAATCATATTCATTTTGAATACATTTTGATGACTTCTACAAAACTATGTTAAGTTTTAATGTTGAAACTTACTACGAGCAACCGATAAAAATCAATTATTTTGTGTCTACGACCGGCAAAAAAAATTATATCTTTGGAAACTTGTTGAAACTTGGCATTTTTAGATGCAAAAACCGCAAGTTTCATCGTTGAAACTTCAAGCTTTTTGACGGATTTTCTTTTTTATTATGTCCTTGTGAGGGATTCAACTACTTCGCGAATCACGAGGCAAATCAAGGGTGGCAGGGCTTGGCAGGTGAGTGCCCGCGCACTTGCGTGTTGCTGCGTATTTCCAACTGTTCCAAACTACAATTCTAAGACAATCGGGATGACTGTATACAACAAGCTAAAAATGAACGACAAGAAACACATTGCTCGGAGATGACGAGGTCCTCTTGCGCAAACGAATCACCAGGGAATTGAGAATGCCGGCTCAGGAGAAGAAAAGACCAATGTCGATGAAAAGGTACGTCGTCACAATCACCATGGGCCCTACAGACCCCTACCTCCTTGACTAGCTCGAAAGACGATGAACCATCGACAAATGGACATGTTTACCCTAGAACCTGTATGAGTGTCGTCGGAAGGCAGCCATAGGAGAGGAACAATGCACACCCGAATGTCATCAACTACTCACCTAGATAAAATCACCGCCAATGCCAACGGGTCAGGCAAGCAAAATGGAAAGTTGTCGGATTTGACGGAGAAGCATAATAGCTTGTGCACAGGGGAAGCATTGAGATATGAAGGGGCAATGCCAAGGACAAAAGTGAAGAAAATATGCCCTAGAGGCAATAATAAAATTGTTATTTATATTTCCTTATATCATGATAAATGTTTATTATTCATACTAGAATTATATTAACCGGAAATTTAGTACATGTGTGAATACATAGACAAAACAGAGTGTCCCTAGTATGCCTCTACTTGACTAGCTCGTTAATCAAAGATGTTTAAGTTTCCTAACCATAGACATGTGTTGTCATTTGATGAACGGGATCACATCATTAGAGAATGATGTGATGGACAAGACCCATCCATTATCTTAGCATTATGATCGTTACAGTTTTATTGCTACTGCTTTCTTCATGACTTATACATGTTCCTCTGACTATGAGAATATGCAACTCTCGAATACCGGAGGAACACCTTGTGTTCCATCAAACGTCACAAAGTAACTGGGTGATTATAAAGATGCTCTATAGGTATCTCCGAAGGTGTTTGTTGGTTGGCATGGATCAAGATTAGGATTTATCACTCCGTGTATCGGAGAGGTATCTCTGGGCCCTCTCGGTAATGCTCATCACTATAAGTCTTGCAAGCAATGTGACTAATGAGTTAGTTCCGGGATGAAGCATTAGGGAACTAATAAAGAGACTTGCCGGTAACAAGATTGAACTAGGTATGATGATACCGACGATCGAATCTCGGGCAAGTAACATACCGATGACAAAGGGAACAACGTATGTTGTTATGCGGTTTGACCGATAAAGATCTTCGTAGAATATGTAGGAGCCAATATGAGCATCCAGGTCCCGCTATTGGTTATTGATCAGAGATGTGTCTCGATCATGTCTACATAGTTCTCGAACCCGTAGGGTCCGCACGCTTAACGCTCGATGACGATTTGTATTATGAGTTATGTGATTTGATAACCAAAGTTTGTTCGGAGTCCCGGATGAAAGCACATACATGACGAGGAGTCTCGAAATGGTCGAGACATAAAGATTGATATATTGGAAGGTTATGTTCGGACACCGGAAAGGTTTCGAAAGGGTTCGGACATTTTTCGGAGTATCGGGAGGTTACCTGAACCCCCCGGGGGAAGTAGTGGACCTTCATGGGCCTTGGTGGAAAGAAGAGGAGGGCCGCAAGGGTGCCCCCACATGGCAAGTCCGAATTGGACTAGGGTGCCCCCCCTCCCCGCCCCCTCTTTCCTTCTCCCTCTCCTCCTCCTTCCCTCTCTCCCCCTCTTGGAAAAGAAAGGTGACTCCAACTAGGATTGGGAATCCTAGTTGGACTCCCCCTATAAGCGCGCCCCTCCTGGCCGCCGGCCTCCTCCTCTCCCTCCTTTATATACGTGGCCAAGGGGCACCCCAAAGCACAACAGACAATCTCTTAGCCATGTGCAGTGCCCCCCTCCACAGTTTAACACCTCGGTCATATCGTCGTAGTGCTTAGGCCACGCCGTCGTGCTGACGGAACTCTCCCTCGTCCTCAAGTGGATCAAGAGCACGAGGGACGTCATCGTGTTGAACGTGTGCTGAACACGGAGGTGCTGTACGTTCGGTACTTGGATCGGTTGGATTGTGAAGACGTTCGACTACATCAACCGCGTTACTAAACGCTTCTGCTTTCGGTCTACGAGGGTACATGGACACACTCTCTCGTCTTATTGCTATGCATCTCCTAGATAGGTCTTGCGTGATCATAGGAATTTTTTTGAATTACTGTGTTCCCCAACAGTGGCATCTGAGCCAGGTCTATGCATAGATGATATATGCACGAGTAGAACACAAAGAGTTGTGGGCGATAATAGTCATACTGCTTACCATCAATGTCTTACTTTAATTCGGCGGTATTGTTGGATGAAGCGGCCCGGACTGACATTACATGACCGCATTCATGAGACTGGTTCTACCAACATGCTTTGCACATAGGTGACTGGTGGGTGTCTGTTTCTCCAACTTTATTTGAATCGAGTTTGACTACGGCCGGTCCTTGCTGAAGGTTAAAATAGCACAAACGGTGGTTTTGATGCGTAGGTAAGAACAGGTCTTGCTAGAAGCCCGTAGCAGCCACGTAAAACTTGCCACAACAAAGTAGAGGACGTCTAACTTGTTTTTGCAGGGCTTGTTGTGATGTGATATGGTCAAGACATGATGTGATATAAATTGTTGTATGAGATGATCATGTTTTGTAACATAGTTATCAGCAACTAGAAGGAGCCATATGGTTGTCGCTTTATTGTATGAAATGCAATCGCCATGTAATTGCTTGACTTTATCACTAAGCGGTAGCGATAGTCGTAGTAGCAATAGTTGGTGAGACGACAACGATGCTATGATGGAGATCAAGGTGTCAAGACGGTGACGATGGAGATCATGACGATGCTTCGGTGGTGGAGATCATGAGCACGAGATGATGATGGCCATATCATGTAACATATTTTGATTGCATGTGATGTTTATCTTTTATGCATCTTATTTTGCTTAGTACAGCGGTAGCATTATAAGATGACCCCTTACTAAATTTCAAGGTATAAGTGTTCTCCCTGAGTATGCACCGTTGCTATAGTTCGTTGTGCCGAGACACCAGGTGATGATCGGATGTGATAAGATCTACGTTCACATACAACGGGTGCAAGCAAGTTTTGCACATGCAGAATACTTGGGTTAAACTTGACGAGCCTAGCATATGCAGATATGGCCTCGGAACACTCAGACCGAAAGGTCGAGCGTGAATCATATAGTAGATATGATCAACATAGTGATGTTCACCATTGAAAACTACTCCATCTCACGTGATGATCGGACATGGTTTAGTTGATTTGGATCATGTGATCATTTAGATGACTAGAGGGATGTCTATCTAAGTGGGAGTTCTTAAGTAATATGATTAATTGAACTTTAATTTATCATGAACTTAGTCCTGATAGTTTTTGCATGTCTATGTTGTTGTAGGTCAATGGCCCGTGCTACCGTTCCTTTGAATTTTAATGTGTTCCTAGAGAAAGCTAAGTTAAAAGATGATGGTAGCAATTACACGGACTGGGTCCATAACTTGAGGATTATCCTCATTGCTGCACAGAAGAATTATGTCCTGGAAGCACCGCTAGGTATACCACATGCGCCAGCATCTGAGACATTGTGAATGCCTGGTAGACGCGTGTTGATGACTACTCGGTAGTTCAGTGTGCCATTCTTTACGACTTAGAATCGGGCCTTCAAAGACGTTTTGAACGTCATGGAGCATATGCGATGTTCCCAGAGTTGAAGTTAATATTTCAAGCAAATGCCCGAGTTGAGAGATATGAAGTCTCCAACAAGTTCTCTAGCTGCAAAATGGAAGAGAATAGTTCTGCCAGTGAACACATACTCAGAATGTCTAGGTACCATAACCACTTGACTCAGTTAGGAGTTAATATTCCGGATGATAGTGCCATTGACAGAGTTCTTCAATCACTGCCACCAAGCTATAAAGGCTTCGTGATGAACTATAATGTGCAAGGGATGACGAAAACGATTCCGAGCTCTTCGCAATGCTAAAGGCTGCGGAGGTAGAAATCAAGA